AGCGGCTGACAGCCGATTTCCTAACAAGTGAAGATTAATGTCCCATCTAAAAACTAAGGTCTCCTAAGTGCTGTCGGTACAACATAAATGCGGGGAGCAGGCAGATGCGTCCCCTGCCACTCAAATCTGGATCGTGCCGGTCCTGTAGAAAGAGCTCACAGCACAAGGTGTTGATGGCCACCTTTGCCTGTGTGTAGTCCTCCCTGTTGGTGAACCTGGCTCCTAAAAAGGCTGAGTCTGTTCCTCCGCGCCTGTAAGAAGTGCCGCGACTCCCTCAGTCTATCTTCATCCTCCCTAGTGGTTTCTGGAATATTCCAGACTGGAAAAAGGCTGAGTTGCTGGCTCCAAGGCCTAAACTCTGAGAGTTCACACAGCGTTGCCAATGGACTGTCCGGGGACTTAGGCTGGGAGTGGAGGGATTGGGAGCCCATGGGTCAGTTTACGATCCCAGGACTGCTCCGCGACTCTGGAGGTGAAGGCAGCTGTCTCCAAAAAAAGCCTAAGGCGGATTCTGAGACCCGTCCTGAAGCCTAGGACTGGGGCTGAGTTGGGGCTCGGGGGAGGGGTCCATGGGTTTAGAAGAGAGTGGGAGCCAGGCTTTCCCAGTACTTCTTCCAACCCCAGAAAGCCACTTGAGATTCGTTAACACACGCGGTTGGAGTTCTCCCCTCCCCCTGGTCCAGGGAGCTTTGACTTGAGGAGGCACTGAAACCAACTGCTGCAACCTTTTTGGAAACCTGGCGCTCTCAAGAGCTCTGTGCCCGAAACTGACACCCGCAAGCACTCCCCGGGGGCCTGTTGGGCAGATGGAGTGGCAAGGCCAGGCGGGGCCTGTTGGCGAGACACCGGGACATTTGTCATGGGTGACCCTGCGCCTTGGCTTCTGAGCCCACTCCGGCGTGGGGAGACCAGCACTAATGTAATAAAGCGAGAGCGACAAGAGGAAAGGCCTCTCTCGCCCCGGGGCCGCCACATGCTCACTCCGTTTTACTGTCAGGGCTGGTAGAGGCTGTGCCTTCATTTCATATTCCATTAATATTTACAGCAGCTATTGAATTTCCCATTACAAAGTTCACCATACACAGTGCTAATATGAAATTTTAATAGTATTGTGCACATTATGAAAAGTCCCGCCATTAAAAGGGGAGGGGGAGGATCGCAGGGAGAAGTTACCCTGAGAAGTTACTTGCCACTGAACGCTGGAAACACTCCCAAGGCAGGGAGATGGGGGGTGGGGTGGGGGAGTCGTACTCATTTGCACCTATTATCATAAAGATGCGAAGCAGTGGGCTTGTTATCAATATTGAAATCAAAAGAGAGGGAGGAAGTGGAACGTAAAAATGCAGGCTGACTAAATTGAGTTTTCCAAGTTGTGTGTGCCTGGCTTTGCCCTCACTTAGAGAAAACTGTTCTCGTGCTTTGTATGAGGTGTGTGAGGGACAAGGTAGAAGATGTCCAGGTTGGCTCGGGTTCCAGCAGTTCTTGGTGGTCCCTGGGACTGTGCAAGGGCAGGTGTGCCTTCCTCAGATTCTGCCCCCTTCCTGCCAGCCCCCAGGGTCCTCAAGGTCCAAAACTGCCATCCTGCCTGTAGTTCCCAGGGAACAAACTTGGCTAAGAGTCGTGGAAATAACCTATTTCTCTGCGTGGAGTTCAACTTTACTGAATTGATGTCTTAGGAGCTGCACTGGGCACCCCAAGCGAAGGCCAACTTGGGGTGAAAAAGAATGGAGACACAAGGGAAATGAGGTTGCCCAAGGACGTGAGGCAGAAAGTGGGGGATCTAGAGCCTGTAGCTCAGGTTAGGATTCCCTCTTCTGCCTCCCTCTTCTGCCTCTGGAGGGCTGCTTAGGAGGGTCAGATCTGCTACAGCTTCCGGCTCCAATTGGTAGCCCACCTTCTGGCACCCAGGAGCAGGTGGCAAAGCACACCCCTCTGCTGGAGGGGTCCCAACAGAAGCAAATGGGTCAGTTCTCAAAGGTACCCTTCTCTGCTTTGTCCAGACGACCAAGACCTTTGTACAGCCGCTAGACGGTGTCACCAGCTCACTGGGAGGTATGCTGTCAGCCTATCCGGTGTGAACTCTCCAACTGTTTGACTTCCTAAAACACCCCAAGTTTCTTTGAAAATATCATCAGATCCTGCAGAGTGGGCAGATAAAGTAGAAGGGAAGTTTCTCCCCACCCCCTTTTTGGTTGGGGGCGGGGATAAACTGTCCGCACTGAGCTTTCTCGCTCTATCCATCCACCCTCGCGCCATCCCTCCTCACTCCTCCGGGTGTGAATTAATGGCAGTACTGCAATTCTTAATAGGCTTCTATTTTTGCAAGGAAAGGGCAATTCCTGAAACTTCAGGTTACTTTCTAGCTAAAGGAAGATGCTGGTGACAGAAGGTAAAGATGGGTGACAGTTCTTCAGGATGATCTGCTGGAGACACCACCACTCCCCTTTAAAACGTATTACTGTTATTGCTATCCCCCATATTCTTGTGAGTTGCGTGTTATGCGAGTGTTAAAGCCCCTAAATGTGTCACACTTTGTCACATCCTCTGTGTGTGTTTTTAGAGAACCTTTGAATAAAAGGCTCGATGCCAGGTATTGGTGACACAGGGGGTGGAATTTTCAGCCGTTCCACAAAGAGTTGGCCGCCTCTATTTGCATAAGGTCAGAGTAGGGCTTGTGGTAGAACTTCACCAGCATCTCTGTCTCTTAGCAACACTCTTGCACTCTTGGTCCCTGCATTAAATTGACTGGTCCCTTCCTTTTCTTCCTTTCATTGGGAGGCTTACAATAAAATGTCACCCTTCCAACCTGTGCCTGTCACCCAGTAGGTCATCTGTATCTCCCACACACACACATTTTTCCCTCCCTCCCCTTTCCCTCTCCTCCTCCTCCCCCTTCTCCAAAGCTCCAATTAGAGACTGAGAGGATTCACTGGGTGAAATCCCAAAACTGTTTCATTTTATGGTGTTAATTAATATTAATACCACTTCTCCCTTTGTTATTATTTTAAAAATCCCTCGTAAACAGGCAAGATAAGGAGTAAATTGCCATCACCTGCCAAACAATGGGTTTGGAGAGGGGCAATAAGGCAGATGGAGAAGGAGGGAACAGGGTTTAGTCTCTACACCATTCAAATGGTGAGGGGTTCAGCACAGCCTAGAAACCCTGGAAGTGCTTGGACTGTGCCAGGCAGCCCTCTTGGCTCTAGCATGGGGACCAGTGACAGGATCCAGATGCTGATAGGTAGTGTTAATGGAGGGTCACGTCTGGACAATAGTATCCATCACTTGCCTCCTGGCTCTTCTGTCAGCTGGAGTCATTTCTGACTACTCCATCACTCAGATTTAGGATAGATTCAATTATTACCTTCGCCTTGGCAACAGGATACACAAATTGGTACCCAGAGGACCAAACAGTAATGGTGATAGTTTTTATTAGCAGTTCTTATTATTAGCTTACTGTGCATCCCTTTCTTGTTAATTTTGAAAGAGCATCCTCGATATCTGATGAATCCTTTCCTCTTTTATTCCATCAACAGCTGCCCAGAAACACAACCCCACCAGATAATGGTTGCTTGATTAGTATACAACACACACACACACACACACACACACACACACACTCACACACACACTTTTGAAAGCCCGGATGATTTCTACTGATTTGTATCATTTTATCGGTTGTGCAAATGAGATACTTTCTGAATTCTCTACCATTTTGCAGTAGGAAATGTCCATTGACCCTGTTTTATAGTGCACAAACAATGTTTCTCGCCATTTGAGAAGTGCTTATGCTGAATGAAAGTAGAAGTTGTATCTGAGATGGGGGGGGGAGTATGAAGAGCCCTTGATATGTTTTTTTTTGTTCATAAACCTAAGAATTTATTAAAGTAAGTGGAGTTTTAAAATAGTAAAAAAAAACTGAAGATGAGGAAGTCGGCAGTAAAGAGGCTAAACTTTCATTGAATTCACCTCTTTCCCCTTGGCCATAGAATCTCTCTTCTCTCTCTCTCTCTCTCTCTCTCTCTCTCTCTCTCTCTCTCTCTCACATACACACACACACACACACACATCACATCACACACACACACACACACACACACACACACTTCTTAAAGGAACAGTTAGTTTTCTGAAACATATTACTCATCCATTTGAGTGTCGGGAATGGTTAGATATACACACAGCTTTCCCTGGTATTTTTACAACCTCTTACCTCTGCTTTCTCCTCTCCTCTTTATGGCTTACATACCCTGTAATTCTTGTAACACATTCCCCGATAAATGCGCAGGTAATGGGGTCTGAGCAATGCACCCAGGGTTAAAAGTCAACCAGCTCCTCTTTAATAATTCACAAGTCATGTTTCTTCCATGATGTCAAGTTTGCTAAGGAAGATAGACAAGGTGAGGGCAACCACTTGAGTTTGTTATTTTGAGTCTCAGAAGAGAAGAAGGCTGCAAAAACTAGCCCCCCCCCCAACTCCTTTACCACCTATTCTTTTCTAGAGGAGCTGCTTTTCCCTTGCTGACCATTTTCCAGGGCCTCAGCAAGATGTTTGAAATGTTTGCAAAGGTTGGGGTGAAGGGAGGATCCTGGGAGTTTTCTCATACTCATTGATTCAAGTTTACAAAGTCACCCACTTCCTGCTTCCATCATATAATTCCCAATGGCTTCTTCTGCTCATCTAATTCCCGAGGTAAGACCTCCTCAGCAAGAGCCATTTCATTTACAAGGATGGCTCCTACTTTGATTTTCTGTAGGTGACCCTTCTTCATGGAGTGACTAATTTTCCTCCCAGAGGCATAACTGTCGACGACAAGCTTCCACAGTCTCTGACTTACCACCACCACCACCCATTCCTTTCCTTCCTAGAAGGATCTGGGGGAAATCTCAGATGCATGCCTCTTTCAACAGTTTGTCCTTTGCAGGAAGAGAGAAGGACGCAACGCATAGACAGAAACGAGAAAATAAAAAGTCCAGGGACGTTAAAGTGCACTGGAGTTTTATTCTGAAGCATAAATTGAAACAAGATTCCATATTGAAAGAGGGAAGGAAAAATATGAAGAGTGAGGTGCACCTTTGCCTTTCCCAGATGCACACAGGGTCAGGGAGTGCAACCCCAGCCTGGGTCACATTGCTCTATGGCCCCTTTACCCTCTCTGATATTTCAGGATTCACTTTTACACAGACCATGCCGAGGAAGTAATTTCGTTTACATTGTTCCCCTCACAACCATTTCAAAACCAAAATATTGAAGGAACTTTTTTGACAGAGTTTTTAAAAATTATTTCATATGCTACTTATTTAATGAGAAGAACCACAGCCTTTTAAAGATTTATTCGGCAGTAGTAAGCACACTTTTTTTTTTTGAGAACAAACATTCTGCATTTGTTCAGTTCTGAAAGATTTCTAACAAAATAACAGGGGAGAAGAGAAGCAGAGTTTTCTCTTCATGGTCCAGTAATCGCTAGTCTTATACCATGCAGAGGAAGAAGCAGCACCCTTTACATTCATTCACCTTATAACTTCCTTGTTAGTAAAAATCATGTTTTGTGGTATGTTTACCCCCACCCTCTTAGTTTTGTGGCTATTTAATTTTAATATCTATTTCTGTGGTAGTTATTCAGCACACATTGGGTACCCAGGGCATTGTTTCAGCCCAAGCCACAGGAACCTTCTAACCTTCTCCAACCGACCGCTGTCAGATCTTAGAGGTGGGGATCTGCTCCACGCTGAGGCAAGTGAGTGGGGAGTGTCGCAAAGCTCTAGGGAGAGGACAGATAATTCATAATTATCCAAGTCAGAAATACTTCGGCAGAAACAAAGGAAAACGCATCAAGTTCTGAGAAGAAGAAGAAACCAAAAAACTTGGGGTGAGGTTGAGAAAGAAAGTTGAGAAAACAAAGTTAGAAGGCACTGTTTTGTTTGCAAGGGGTGGGAATCTGGCAAAATGTATCCAAGATCAGGTCTTTTTTGAAACCACAAACTTTTAAAACCTTTGATTCTTGCCACTTCTCCAGTCAAAGAAGAACCCAAAAGCTTCAGCTAAGTTTAATTTTGTTTGTTTGTTTTTTTACCAAACAGGACACAGGAAGCCAGGAAACATTTTGCCATAAGCTATGACTTTACAGTGTATCTGCTCTTTCTGTCTCGATTATGGAATTATTTAAGATTGCTCGTGCTTTTTCTTCCATGGGTTTTTTTTTTTTTTAAAAGAGGGAGAGGGAGCTGCAGTTTCTTTGTAACCGTTTGCACAGTGCCCTGAGTATTACTGTTTGTCATCTTTCTTATTTGGGGTATTGGCTGAGCTGGACCCTTCAAGCAAATCAGTTTGGGGGGCAGGAGGCACAGCTGGCTTTGACAACTACCAACTCTGCCTTTCTTGGCAAGGATTCTGAGCATGGAGTTGTGATAAACACATTTCACCTTTTGTATTACAAGGTTCCTCGGAAGTCCCTTCTCCAGCACTCTCCAACTGAAGGGGCATCCTCAAATCAACCTGAATTCTACAAGGTCCGCCTCTAGCTGGGGTGTTTATTTTCTAGTAGGGGTCCCCACTACCGCCCTTTAGGGAAGAGCAGTTCTACCGGTCTGCATAGTTTCTACGCAGCACTGTTTTTCACTGGGAGATAGGTTGTTAAAAGCGCCTACAGAACTGCTGGGGGCGGGTAGGGAGGAGGATATGCTCTCCCACTCTCAGACAGCAGTTCCTAGAAAGACCCTGGGTAGCTCAGACTGAGGCCACTTTACTAAGCAGCAAGCGGGGTGGGGGCAGAAAATATTTCTCTTCCCTTCGCTGGTATCACTTTCCCCCTCCCGTGCTAACTTCGTGAGAAGAGGGGAACTCAGGGGAAGAGAGGTGGGGGAAAACTCTAATAAAGTCTAGTAGAAGTTTGCAAAATGCTGATCGCAGGCAGCTTCTCGCAGAGGACCAGGAAGAAACCAACTCGGGAGAGGGAAGCATCCATTTCCCGCCTGCCAATGAAAAACACACAAAGTTGCAAATTTGAGGAAGGGGTAGGACCAGACTTTTCTGGGGCAACCAGCTGCAGCTGCCGGCTACCGAGAGAGTGCTGGGGCAGCCCACTGGCTCTGGGCGTCCGCAGCGCGGCCACCGGAGGCCAGGGGTGCATCCCGTGCGGCGGGCAGTGTCGCCGCGCGGCTTCCACCCCGCCCAGCCGGCAGCCACGACCTCCAGTCCGGCCCACACCTATCATTTGGAGCCATCTTCGCTCAGTCTTCCAAACATTCCGAGGGTTTTTGATTCCACTCGCCGCTCCTTCTTATTGAGTTCTCCGCGGTCTCCCTGCAACTTGTCATAGCCTGTAATAAAATGCCCTTTCTGTCGGGAGTTAAAGTACAGAGGGCAGCGGTTCTATTTGCAACTGACAGCCGAGAAAAGGAGCTGCCGCAGCCTCGCTTTTGTCTGTCTGGGGCTTTAACTCCTGCAGGGCCGGCTACAGAGAACTAGCTGCTCGACAGGCAGCCCTGAGCACCCGAGAGGGCCTCAGGTAGCGGACTAGCATCCCTAGACAGCCCCGGAACAGAGATCTCAATCCTGACCTATGCCCCGCCCTGAATAAGGAGTTCGGTTGTGAGAAAGTTCTGGACCTACAAAACTGCCTACTATACTCTGTTGAGAAGCAGTCCTCAGATAAAGGACCCCTATTTTACTCTTTGGGCTGAGTGGGCTTGAAGGAAGAAAAACAGTGTGGGGTAAGGACGGAAGGAAAGAAAAATGTTAAGTGATTCCAATGTCAGTATCCAGAGAGTTTTCACCTGGTTTAGTTACCAAACCGCTTCATCTATTTCTTCAGGGAGTCAAACTGTCCAAAAATTATTTCCATATCCCTGGGAACAAAGAAAGGAAGATTTATGCACGAGTTTTGTGGCCCACCAGGTACCTGAAAAGATGCGGTATGGACAAGCGCTCTAAATCTCATCTGCTTGGGAAGTGCCCAGCCTTTAGCCTGCATCCCCGCCCCCCCTCCCCCCAGTTGGCAGTGTGTTGCACAAGGTACTTGGTGCAGTCCCAGGCTGTCTTCTGTAGTCACAGACCTGACCACAACTAATCTGATGCATTTAGGAAACCAAGCCACTTCTTACCTGGCCAACCCCTTCAGAAGTCACTCTAGGATACTCTAAGGGAGGGTGTTGGTGGGTGCCAGAGTTCCCCAGACATTGTGCGTGTGTCTTCAACACCTGAAGAGTTTAGGAAGTCATGGGAGTGATACCACCTGGTGGAGGAGGAGAATTGGGAGCTCTGGTCAGTGAGGACAGTTCAAACTGGGAGAGGGGAGGCAAACAAGAGTTTCTCAAAGGTAATTGTACCTTTTGGGCAAAGGATGTGCTGGCCATACGGGGAGCATGTCGCAGGTGTTGCCCTGTCTGGGGTTTCTTCCCAACTTCTAGGTCCTCACTCCAATCCTAGAACTCCTTTTCTGAGTTCCAAAGGGAGAGAGAGTGTGAGACTGTCTCCATCCAGGAAAATAGCCCTTCCTCCCTCTGGCTTGCTGGCTGCTCCTGATACCTTCTCATGGACAGTGTCCAAAAGTGCATCCCTTACACACAGTGTGCGTCTTGCATACGATGTACATACAATATGCATAAGTACATCTCTTTTGGCTGTCCCCATGGAGATAAACATGCCTGTGTGGCCGCCCTGTACCCCTCTATCTTCATACCCACCGCACACTACCTTCTTCTAACTCTGTGAAGATACTAAGAACTTGAAATCAATAGTGTCAAAACCCAGGAAAGCTGAGAAATTGACCAGCTGACCTCCGCAGATGATTTTCTTCTAGAGGATGGGAAAGCCTGTGTTCTAAACTGATAAACACCAAGAAACCAAAAGGATTCTGTTGAGAGTAGGAGTTATACAATATTCCTCAACAGAGAGTCCATTGTGCTTAGCTTGAAAGAGAGAGGAAGAGGGAGAGAGGGAGAGGGAGAGAGAGGGAGAGGGAGAGAGAGAGAGAGATATTTGAGCATTCCACATCAGAAGTCGCCTGTTAGGGGCAATGCAGAGCTGTAGTAGGGGAAAGTGTGCTGTCTCAGAAAACTTAAGCAGAAGTTTTTTTTAATCCCCTAAAGAAGGGGGAAACAGCGGCATGGGGAAACGCTGTACAGCACGCTGCCACCTTGTCAGCTACAGTCCTCAGTTCTGTGTTTATCTCTCAAGTTTGATCTCTGGATCTCTAGCAAGGCTCTTGATGCAAACCCAAAGTGGTAGTTTGACATTCTTCCGCCAGCACCACCAGCTTTGTGTAGGTGACCGAAACCGTCCTTTCCTATCCTTAGGAAAAGTTAGAATTCTCTCCCCCACCCCAGGAGGCCAACTTTTACAGGAACCATTGTTCATTTAAAGCACTGGTTGGGATACTCAGGTCATAGCTGAAGATTTGGACAATAATACCCTTATTCTCCCAGTTAGCTGGTGGCTTCTATTCCAAATGAAGCTATTTGGGGACACGTAAAAGCCAGGAAATTTCCTGGTGCACAATAGAAAATGACGCTGTCTGCCTTCTGCCTATTTCCACTCCAAAGTGAATGATGCCCCAGTTACCACCCGGCCTGACTTGATTTATCTTGGTTAATAGGATTAACGTGTCAGCCTTTCTCCAGAACTTCCAAGTGCATACCCGGAGTGTCACTGGCTGGCTGGTGTCTTCTCTCCTCTCTGATGGGCATAATGACACACCTACAAGCGGAGGGCCTTTGTCCACTGGGAGCAAGCAGATTATCCGTCTCCAGTGCAATAAGGCGTGCGGTAGCCTCCTTTGCCAAGACTCAGAGCCAGAAGCCAGTCACTATAAAATAATTGTGTCCCTACCTCACCAGCACACTGGCCCTGCTTCATTTGTCTTTGGACTGTAATTGAACGGTTGAAGAGCAGGAACGTAGACAAATTCCAGCTGTATTGAGATCTGTTTCTTCCTCCGCTACCTCGGCCCATCATTAGATACTTTCCTTCCCTGTGCAGGAGGTCAGAGTGTATAAATATAAATTGCATTTTGCATTACTTCAAGATGAGTGAAGCTGTCAAAGCAATAATATGAGCTTTCAGTCCTACATTCTACCACTTCTTTCCCATTTTTTGGCCAGAAGGTCATGTGCAAATTGAACGTGACAACCCAGAAGACATGTCCAACAGACTCGTATTGTTACCCAGCTCAGCTGCCTGGCTCATGACAACATTAAACCCACATTAGTCCCCAGCCTCTGCCAGGCAGGGGCTCCCAAAGGCAGGGCCCAGGCTGCTCTGAAAGTTCACTTCGGTGGTGACATGTCATCTGCGAGTCATTGGCAGCAGTGACTGAAATATTTGCCGCGTAAGATTCGGGAGGATGTCCCATTACAAAGACCAGGACGGTGCTCTGTAAGGCAGAAAGCAGAGCACAAGGTGCACAGCCAAAGGGGTCTCCAGCACTCAAATGTTAGAACACACACACACACACACACATGTATACACATATGTGCACACACACATACATGCTGTAGAGATACCCTTGATCCTGTCTGATAATATGCATACTTTTCAGAATCCAACTGAAATGTGGTTGGACATAATTTTTGTTGCTATCTCCACTAGGAGAACATCATTTTGAAAGCCACCTGAAAACGTCCATTGACTTTAGCGTCTCATTAGCAACTCTGGATACTTTTGATAATGAGATACAATTCCATAACAAAGATGAAGTCTCAGCCGCTTACAACACATGCCTAAAACGGTGGCTCGCCCCAAACTGCACTGTACTGAAGGGATATGAAATTATCAATTTCAAGGACATTGAAAGACTTGGAGGATCTGATCAGCAAGTATCTGTCTGCGTGACCCATTCATGTCTTGCCCATATTGCAGCGAAGGGAGAACTGTTGTTCGCAGACAGGGTGTTTGATGGTTTCTAGGAAATGAATAGCTGTTTCCATTCGTGTTCCAAATGGACAGGTGTCGACATCAGAATTGGCAACCTGGTTGGCAGACTCAGAGAGCGGCCAACGGACAAATTGTTTATGCAGAATAAACTTCCATCCCTCCCGTGATGACAGTGCATATGTGAGCACTGGCGGTAGGTGGGGCGGAGATGTGGAGATGCTGGGGCCGAAAGATTGATACAGGGTTCACTGTAGCCCTTTGATTCCAAGAGGCACCATATGCAATGGCACTTCTGGAGCTTGCCGGGCTCTAAAGGCACGGATGAGAGTCACTTCACCTTCCATAGGAAGCACATATCAATCTCAACAAGTAAAATTAATCGAGCCGCTCGTCTGTGCAGACTCTGTTAAATGAGCCGCAGTCCCACACATCCTTTCTTTCGCAAAGGAAGGGTCCTTGTTTTTAATCCCCATTGAGTGATCAGGATGTGTTTAAATATTGTGTGTGAGAACATGGCAACTGAGGCCCACGCCTGGGAATACAAAATTCAAGTGAGAAGTTCTCCTTTGTTATTGGTGGATATACATATATATATATATATGTGTGTGTGTGTGTGTGTGTGTGTGTGTGTGTGTGTGTGTGTGTATATATGTATATATTATCAAATACTACCTAAGGGTGACTTCTGGATTTGTGGAAGCTTCCATGTCTCCTATCATTTGTACTCTCATAACTCTTAGGATCCAGATGTCTGTGCTGAATTTTGCTTCTGGAAATAGCACACACTATACAGTATGATGGTTGTGCATAAGGAAAACAATACTATGGTAACTCTGGATCCAAAGTCTTGTCATAATTCATTTTTATTTTTGTTTTGTTTTGCTATGCTGTTTAGGAGAAGATCTCAGGTATCCCTGGCTAGTTTCAAACTCTCTGTACAGCTAAATCTGGCCTTGAACTCTTGGTCTTCCTACCTCCACCAGCTGAGTACTAAGATTCAAGGTATGCACCACCACTCCCAGTTAACCTGGTAGCCTTTTGAAATTATTTGCTTGTTTTATTGTATGAGTATAATGTGTGTGCACTGCATGTGTGCAGGAACCCATAGAGACCAGAACAGGGCATCAGATCCCCTGGAGCTGGAGAATGGACAGTTGTGAGCTGCCATATGGGTAGTGGAAACCAAACTCAGGTCCTCTGCAAGAGCTAACTGATGAGCAATCTCTTCAGTCCCCTTATATACTCTTATTATCACTCTTCTCCTGTCACATAAATTAAGGCTGTTTTAACTTGAAAGGTGTTGATAACAATACTAGAAACACCTTTGATTGACTAAAGAACCAAGGTAGCCATGTGTTGACACTGAAAATATAGACGCATAACTGTGGACACTTTTTTCTGGGTTCCTACAGTCTTTTTATTACATGTATTTGTGTATGTGTGTGTGTGCACATGTTCACAGTCACAATAAACATGGGCAGACCAGAGAGCAACTTGGAGAAGTTGGTTCTCTCCTTACACCATGTAGGTTTCCAGGGATCAAACAGCTTTTCAAACTTGGTCACCAGTCTCTTAATCCACTGAACCATCTTGCCAGCAACTAACTATAGTAAAGCATGTCGAGCTTTTAATTACACCTTGAATCCCAGCACTTGGGAGGAATAGGCAGGTGGGTCTCTGTGAGTTCGAAGTCAGCCTAGTCTAAATACTGAGCTCCAGGCCAGCCAAAGTTACACAGTGAGACCTTGTACCAAAAAGCAAAGGTATAGATGTTTGAAATTTAAAGCCGTTAATTTTCCAGTCACAAGTAGAATATAGATCCACTCCTATATTAAAAGGCTTTGATAAAGCTAACCTGTATTCTTCATAAAAACTTCCCATTAGCCTTGAGTGGAAAATTGCACTCTTTAGCCTAAGAGTGCTGGTAGTTTTTAATTGATAAATTATTCAAAGATTCTTAAAGTCATGTTTTCCAAAATCAGAGCAATTTCTCAGAGGCAAGTATAGGTTATTGCTGCTACTCATGACAGTCACAACAAAACAATGAAGCTAGGACCTCCTTAAATATCATTATCTTCCCTGTGAAATGGAATTCCTGATTCCCAAAGTCAGATAAAGTGTATAAAGTATCCAGCACGGTGAGGACACTGGGACTTGCTGGCCTAGCCCCAGATTCGGTGAGAGATCTATGTCAAAAGAATAAGGAAGAGAGTAATAGAGAGAACACCCAAGTCCTTCCTTTAGCCGCCACGGGCACATACCACACCCATGCACTGGGCCCACATATACACACAAACTTCACATGCTATGCTGATGCAAAGATATGTCTAAAATCTGAAGAAGAATGCAGAGCATTGAAATATATTATTTACTCTCTGATATGGATGATTCATTTGTAGAAATGGGACCAAAACTTTCTAGGTGCACTTCTAAAGACAAATAGTGGCATCATCTACAGATCGGATGCTGAAAGGATGCTGAAGCCAGCAGCCTCCAGCACCTAAAGATGTTTACATCATCCGTAAAGATCTCAGCACTGCTGGTTCTTTGAGAACTTCACGTGGA